TTACAACATGTTTGCAAACTTCCTCAGCATACTGCTATGAATTACACCATCAGTGCACAGAGGTACCATGGAAGTTTGTCAGTGGGAGAAGTGACTGCCTGTGAACTTCTCTGTGTGGCGGCTGACACCAAGAACCTGTTGTGAGCATTTCTCATGCCACTGCTATGAAACACAATCAAATTTTCACCTTCCAGAAAAATATAAATTAGATGTGCCTGGGCCTAAAAAAAAAACCCTAAACAAATAAACAAATCAACTATGAACTGTCTGGGCTGAGTGATAACTTGATTTTAGAAGAAACCTGTTTCCTGCTGGCTACTACCCCAGCCAATTCTTCTTGCGTAAGGGAAAGACTCTCCAACATTCTAAGTGATGCTTCCCAGCACTGCTAAGGCAAAGGGAGGGGGCCTGACAGCTGCCCAGTCCTGCCATGTGCCAAGCATTATGCTAAATAAGGCTGTACTAATGTCATTGCTATGCAGTGACTTCCTGTGCACTGGAGAATCCATCAAATGGAGCACCATGCAATCAGTCAAAGGAAGCTGGGGTAGAGGGCAAAGTACCAGTGGAAAATGCCTGCGTGATTATGTCGGGGAAAAAGCAGGACAGCCATACTGCACGTCCGAGTTGCTGCTGACTGTGAGCACCTGGATCCAGGACTGCCTTTGAATTAATTCATCAGTGGTCATCACAGCTTGAGAAGAAAAAAACCAAGTCCTTGTTATGGAGTTTCCCTCCTACCACGACCCCTGGGAGTATGCCAAGCAGCAGTGGTTCTCATCTGCCTGCACCCGAAACACCTGGAAGGCTTGCTAACCCACCTCCACAGTTCCCGATTCAGCTGGCCTGAAGTGGGATGGAGAACCTGCATGTCTAACAAGTTCCCAGGTGGCACTCACGTTGCTGTCTGGGGACCAGACTTTGAGAACCCCTGGTCAAAGTCATGCGTAGAAACTCCAGGTCTCTGAGAGCTTCCCTAGCTCTGTTCTCACTCTGTTCTGTGATCTGAGTGGCCACTTATTCATGATGAAGTGGTCAGGAGAGCTAAGGGAAGATTTATGTGATCCACTCAGCAAAGAGCCACCAAAACTCTGGGGAATAGGACACATGCTCCTGGGAGGCTGCAGAGACCTGTGGTCAAGATGGACTCGTGTGACTGTGGGTAAATTACTTACTCTCTTAACTCCTCAGTTTACTCAGTGAAATAGGAATAAACCCTAAACCTCGTCGGGCTGTGAGGATTAAACGTGGTAACCTTGAGGGCTGCATCCACCTGGTGCTTGCTAAAAGCACAGACTCCCAATTCCTAACCCTGCCCTCCTGAGCCAGAATTCCCAGGACAGGGTCCTCAGGACCAAACCTTTAATAAATATCCAGGTGATTCTTAAACTGGGCAAGTTCTGCATGGTCAGATAGAATCCATGGAAAGCCCTTGGCCTTGATCTATGCTCTGCCCTCAAAGGTCAGCCACTGGTTTATTACCACCTGGGTCAATTTGCAAATGGCACCACCCTGGCCTTCTTGATAATGTCACCCAGCATGATTAATTAGTAGACACCTTACCCTATAAAAGTTTTTTAGAAGACATGGCTCTGTATCCACAAGTAAAAATTAATTGAATAGTACACTTCAGATTTGTGTACAGGACTGTTTATAAATTATACCTCAATAAAAGGTTTCCAAAGAAAATTTTTAAAAAGACATGACCCCTTCTTTAGAGAAATACACTTAGAGGAAAACAAATAATGCTACTATACAGGCTCTGTGCCCAATTGCTCATCTGTAGAGGGCCCGGTGCCACACGTGACTGTATGGGACACACAGGAAGTAAATGAAAGTCACTTGATGAACTGCAGTATGTGACTGGAGGGGCACAGGTACTGGAGAAACTTCTGTAAGGGAAGGATCCAGAGATTCCCTTTGAATTCTACCACATCTGGCAGATTTTTCTCCAACAGCCTCAGCCCAGCCTCCCGCCTTAGAGAAGCAGCTTCATCTGCAAGGACGGAGTAGTTTCAGTCCTCAGCTGGGGTGAACCCTGCCCCACAGCCTGAAGCTACGAAGAGGCCACCTCTCTCCAGCAGGATTCCACGGGGCAAGGGATGGGTCATTTTCCTGGCTGTTTGCTTTCCAAAAGTCTTTTTCTGGACACATCCACAAGGTCGGGGACAGAAGCTGACCATGACCAATGTGTGCAAATCATGGTGTCCAATGAACAAGCCAAAACATCAGTTCAAAACCTACTCCCCCAAAGCGCATCTCTCCCTGGGCTGCAGAGGGCAGCATCCGCCAAGTGCGTTTAACAGATGGGGACTTGGAAGGAGGGAGGTAGACTGACTGGCCCGGGGTTAAGCACTGTTCAGGTGGGAGGAAGTCAAGGACGGAAACTCCAGGGCTTCCATTTCTAGGCTTCTGCTCAGGGCAGCCGGCACCTCACCTACTAGCTCGAGGGGCTGAATCAAGAAGAAACAGCCAGGGCTGCCTTAACATCTTACCTCTTCCTCACCAGCTTCTGGGTGGAAATCAGGGTCATGATTAGGAGTCTAATTTTGTCATTGCTCATAGGGCTAATATGCACATAAAATAACAAATTTTTACTTTGTAGTTCAGTTATTTGGGAGAGAGGTAGTGAGTTGGGAGGTCAAGGATCGCGGGTACCTCTCTTTTTTGCTTAGATGGTAGACACCGATTTTTTTTTAATGTCACATCTTCTGTTCTAAATAAGTATAGTTTGCACCTAACGGGGTTTCCATTTTCTATTTCCATTTCAGACACAGGCTTACAGTTTTAGGCTAGTCATACGTTTTGCTCACAATCTAGACCTCATGAGCCAGTGACAGGTGATTCTAGTACCCCACCCAAACCTACTCAGATACCATATACTGTCTGTGCACCCAATCCTCCTTTATGGGTTCATGTCCATGACTTTCTTCGCTGAGTGCCTTTGGCGCCCTGCTTGCGCACACAGTCTGAAGAGTCTGCAGGATGAAAAGCCCGCCAGGCAGCCTGAGCTTGTGACGGACTGCTGTGGGAGCGTGCAAGTCCAGTCACTTGCCCAAACTGGGACAAATTCTGAGGGAGTCACTTATGTTCTAGGGCAGTGCTGTCCAATAGAACTTTCTGCGATGACAGAAATGTTCTAGATCTGTGCTGTCCAAAATGGTAGCCACTAGCCACAACTGCTGAGTACTTGAAATGTGGCGAGTGTGACTGAGGAACTAAATATTTTAAATCCCGAATGAATAAATGCATGCACCCATTAGTCAGAATGGAATGAAAAAGCAGGGTCCTCGGGACCGACTCTTTAATATATAGCCAGGTGATTCTTAAATTGGGCAAGTTCTGCATGCTCAAATAGAAGCCATGGAAAGCCTTCATTAGAAAGCTCAGAAACTGTAAGGAGAAAGCTACATATTAGGGTAAGTTTTTATTTTCAAGTTGCCTGAGAATTACCTAGATACTTTACCTTCTTGAAACGTTTATTCCTGAAAACTATTCCAAGAAGCATGAGTTCAATTTATCTTCTTAGTAAATGGAAGACAGTGGTTGTGGTCTCATCTTTTTTTGGTTTTAATTATGGGAATGTCTCAGAATCTGAACATCAGAGCCTATGCATGAGGACTGCGGATATTAACTGCAGAAAGTGATGGGGTTTGAGCTGAATTTGAATGAACCCCAAGACGTAGCCTGAATCTTCATGGGAACATGTCAGGACGCTTCGATTCTGACTGTTGCGATTTTACTGTAAACATCAACTGCAATTTAACAGCTATCCTGCCCCAAATTTTGAGGCTTATGAGACTCAAAAATTAAATTACTATTTTATTTCATTGTGTTTATTTTGATTAATATCTAAGTGATCTAGGTGTGGTTCTTAGTCGCTGAAGGCTTCCTCTCTTCACCTCTGGGGCCAGTAATTGCCATTTGCAGGTTACCCTTGCTGTCTTCCTAATCAGCCATGAGTGGAAGTGAGAGGGGATTCAAGGAACTTCAGCTCAGTTCACTGTTGTCACTTCAATTCTGTGATACCGTTTTGCTCTGCTTCTGGGTCTCACTCTCTTCCCTGTATCTGAACTTTGACTATAACCTGCTTGACACCTCAGTCCCTTCAGAATGGAGAACCCGTCTTGTTTCTGTCTATCTCTTGCTCAAAACACATGCCCCCTCAGTCCATTGGACCAAACTCCTTCCAGAGTTCACCCCACATTGTTCGGTACTTCACTCAATAGACATGTCAGGGCTCCAAATTGCCAGGCACTACACCAGGAAGCCACAAACATTAAATTAGCACGCGTAGCTTCTGGGTAGAGAAACAGAGGGGACGGGAGTAAAGAAAACTGTACCCATTATCCTAAAGCCCTTACAGAAAGGACTGACAACAGAAGGCGGGTCTGAAGGCAAGACTCTGGTTTGATGTGCTTTTGTGCTGAGGATACAAGCCTTTTAAGAAGGGGGCATGCATATGGTGCATTAGGATGAGGAACAATAAATGTGCACTGAAAGTCCTAAGAAACGGAGAGACCTGGAAGCCCCACCTCCATGGGAAGCCTCCCACAGCTGCAGAAGAATTTGTTACGGCATCTTGTGCTGAGTCAGATTTAAAAAGCACAGTGGGACATTCCCATGAGACCTGTTTTGTGCCACCAAGTGAAGACCCTTGCTAGACTCTACCTGAACTTCAAGACTGTAAACATATGTGTAGAGATCATCTCAAAGGGAATGGGATGGAGACCCAGGAAGCTGACTAGGCTGGGACCATGTCAGAGATGTCACTGTTCCTTCATGATGGAGAAGCAGTTTGTCTTCTGACTCTGTGCTGCCCCACATTTGGTTGTAAATGATCATTAAATCTATAAGGCTAAAAATGTGTGGCTGTATTCCGGGGAGCTCTCAACATCTGTTGTAACAGGAAGCAGTAATATTGTGTTGAAATCATTATCATTGATTAAAATAGTTTCGAGCAGCAAACACTTCATACCCAGACATGAGACCACGGCTACCTGGTGGCAAGAAGAGGGTACGTGTGGACTGGGCTGAACCAGGCTTCCTTCCTCCGTGGCATGCTGTCATAAATTAACAGGTCCTTGTCCGTCAGTACAACCAGCGCTGGCTTCCACTGTTTCTCACTGTCCCCAGGCACCTGAAACACAAAGCAGAGAACCATCAAACAACAGCCTGAGAAAGAGTAACTGGAAAAAAAAGAAATTGGCATTCCCTCCCAATCAGAAGACCCAACAACCCAAGTATTTTTTGCTTCATGCTGTAAAATCAAAATGAGGTGAAACCATTCATGGCTGCATGATTCTTGATTTTTAAAAATATGTTTTCTCAAGGGCCCTGATATATAGTCAGTGTAGCCAAAAAGTAGCCCAGCAGCCAAACATCTGCCACTGTTTCTCACCTGCCAGTCAGCGCTGAAATCTTTATTTATTAGCAGGACGCATGTGCATAGGGGAATAAGCACACCCAGCTGGGTCTCTCATAGCGTGCTTTGTTTTTATTATGAAACGAGAAGGTCTGAGGCTTTTGAATAAATACCCAAAGGCTCTAAAAATGTACTATGAAGGCAAACGTCCGTCTGTACAGGTATGAGACATCACAGCCTCCCCCCCCAGTCTTTCACTCTGGTTTCTGTGATTCAGGCACCATCTTGAAATTCTCTTGTTCTACTGAATGTTAAGTTCCATTCATTGTGAAGACCTCTTTAACTCAAGGGCTGAGATGACCTGGCAGGGATACGACAGGATTCAAACATCAGTTGGATGTCTGGACCAGATGACCTTCAAAGTCTCCTCCAGTCCTGAGAGTCTGCGTAGCTCAGATCTTGTCTCATGAGCCATGATCCGCCCCGTGTTGGTCTGTCGCCCAGACGCCCTAAGTGCTCTTTCATCTATGAAAACGCCCTCCTTCCAATCTGAACTCTGGGCCCTGGGATACATATTCCAGATAAGCCTGGAAAAACTCAGGGCTCTAGCCTTGCCACTCAAAGCATAGGTCATGTTCCAGCAGCAGTTTCTCCCCCCTCCCACCAGGAAGCACAAGGCCACCAGCCTAAACATTCTGTCTCTTCCAGAGCTCCCCAAGATGGGCATGGCATCACCATACTCAAATTCTTCTTAGTTTCTTTATCAGTTTTTCAGCACAGTTAATTATTTCTATGTTGACAAGGGCTTTTATTTGTTTTTACATTTTGTCATAAAGTCTCAGTGACATCAACCACCAGAATACACAAAAGTAGCCTCTTCACTTTGTACAGAGAGGAAAATAATAAACTCCATCAAAAGTTCACTTTGACCAAGGAAGAGACAACCTCCAATGGAAAACCACATGCAGGAGGACCCAATATAGATAGATAGATAGATAGATAGATAGATAGATAGATAGATAGATAGACAGACAGACAGATGGATAGATAGACAGATAGAAGATAGATAGATAGATAGATAGATAGATAGATAGATAGATAGACAGACAGACAGACAGACAGATAGAATGTATAGATAGCTCATCTGAAAGAATACAGGATCAGCATCACCTGGAAACTTGCTAGAAATGCAGAATCTCAGACCCAGCCCTCCCCGACTGAAGCAGAATCTGGAATTTTAACAAGTTCTTCAGGTGAGTCACAGACTAATTAAAGATAAGAAGCACTGTCTAGATGAGGTTAAGACTGTCTTTGACACTGGCAATTAATTCAGTGAAGAATCAACCCTCTCACAATGAACCACTATTCCAAATCTAGTTAGAATTAAAGTAAACTAGACAGTAAGCTAAATAAATGATAAAGCCAATTTCTTCCCTTTCTATTCTTAGCATTACCTTTCCTTAAGTGCCACTGTGAAATCTGTATTGAGGTGGAGGCAAGGGTATGTGCCTTTGGAAATGACTGACCAAAATAGGGAAGATGTGCAGGATGACATGAGGGTTGAATTTTGTAGGTTCTGTGGTTGATAGGCTGCGTGGGTCTGAGTCCCTGCTCCATTAGTTCTTGCCTGTGTGACTTTAGGCAAGTTATTAGTCTCTGTGATTCTATTTCCTCAACTGATAATGATAGCACCATATACAACAGTGGTCGCTGACTCTGGAGCTCGAATGCCTGAACATAAACCATAGCTCTGTAATCTACTAGCCATGGAATCTTGGGCAGGTCAGCTTATGTCTTTGTATCTCAGTTTCTGTATCTGTAAAATGGGGAAATAATAGTACCTATATCAGAGGGTTGTTGTGAGGATTAAGTTAAAATGTCTAAAATGCACAGCACAGTGCAGAATAAGCATCATTTAGAGCCTATTTGGTAGTGTGTACCTTATAATGCTGGAGAGGAGATTAAATGAGACAGCGCATATAATGTGTTGACCTGGTACCTGACAGATGGTAAGGCTCTACATGAAACTTAAGGTGAGAAAACTGTGGCAGGCTCACCGATTTTTTAACTTTTCAAAAAAAAGGTGCTCTTTGGAAATGGCAACAATATGACAAAGTACTGACTTTCCTTGGGGGAAAATGATAAGTCAAATAAGTCAAACTAAGAATATCTTTGACGCTGACAATTTCAATTCATTCTCTTCCCAGGAAGTATTCATTGCACAATAATCACCTTTATTTTTTAATGCCAAACTTCCAGCAATTCCAAATAAAAATTTCCTTTTAAAACAAAGAAATTCCTTGTAAAGCTATTTATACTGGAATGTGAATGACTATCTAGCTTATTTCCCCTTTTACGCATTTTACACATATAAAAAATTCAACTTTAGCTAATTGCTCTTTCCAACAGAACAACAGCCTCTTCAAGACATCAAAATGAATTGTTAGAGAAGGCAGTGTACCAGAACCTACAAGGTAAATAAACTATGGTCTCAAGGCATAACATGTTCGGGGGGTTTAGAATAAATTTTTTTCGGCCTCTACATTAAACCTAGTAAACTACTTTTCCAGCTTATTAAATAGGAGTGGAGAAGCTACAAATGATCCTTCCAAAGTGCCTGTCTTACTTACCTAGTCAGATCTGATCCATTAACTTTGACTGGAATCAGTGATTTAAATGGGAACACAACTAAATATCATTCTTCAAAAACAATATTAAATTTGCAAAGTAAATCTCAACAGTAAATACCAAGAGTAAAATTCAGTAAAATTCACTTTTCTAATGGTGGAATCATAAAATCACCCACATGACAAGTGGTATATATATAAGTATAAATAATTCCAAAGCCCTAAAACATTTTGCTGTTTACTAAAGAGCCCTGTATGGATATGTTAACTCTGCTAGGAGAATACTGAGAGTGAGCACTTCCCACCATTCCTATGTGCAGAATGATCATTTTAATACCATGTGGCTGCTTGAAGGTAGAAGTCTGCCTAAGAGGACAACAGACTTTCCAAGGAGAAAAAATTCATGTTGAAGAACAGGTTTTTAACCATACTTTGGGCCATGTGAGCTTCACACTGTAAAATCTTTCAGGAACACTTGTCTTCAGGCTCGAATACTTAGGCTGTTGTTCAGTGACAACTTCTATTACAAATCCGTATTTCCTGGCACCCAAAGATTCTCCAGTGTTAATGCAACAGTTCTGGGGATGTGTCTGCATTTTAGTGAAACGTGACTCCTGAAACAGAAGTGACAACTTCCCTCTCCATCCCAGATTCCTGCCATCAGAGGCTGCAGCAGTCAGTGATCAGAAGCAAGAATTGATCATATTCTAATGAAGAAGGTGACGGGAAAGAAACAGGGAAGTAGACACTGAATTCTGAAATTATTCTGATGCATGGAGTGGTGAGCTGAATCCTCTATCCCATAAGGGGGACATCCCATAGTCATCCCTGCAGAGCTCAGAAAAAGTTTACAAAATGGCAAGAAGAATTTAAGAGGGAGTGGAAAGAAGTCACTGGTAAGAATCAAGGGAAGTAGATACAAATGTATGAAATCAACACATCATATACTTTAAACTCAAACAATGTTATATGTCAATTATATCTCAACTTTAAAAAGAACTGAGGCATGTAGTCATTGACTTCTCAATTTGAGACAGGTCTCATAAGTCATCCAGTCATAAAACAAAATGTCAAACAATTGAAAGAGGGTGTGTATGGTGTTGCAGCCAGGCTGGCATCCCAGACTTTGTCTTTATCCTCCTACAACTCATACCTCCGAGTAGGGGTCCTCACAAACACTGAAATACAGTTTGAAAACTGCTGACCTCTTTTCCTCTAAAATGCCTAGAATCTGCAGGTTACTTTCAAAGAGGTGGTCTTACCAAAACCTTTCCATGCTCTTTTTGTAGGTATTTGCAAAGGAAAGAATGATACTGTTGCTTTGTAGAGTTGTAAGGATTAAATGAATTAATATGTGTAAAGAGCTTAGGAAAGTGTTTTGCAAACAGGAAGCAGGCAAGCCTTAAAAATATTAGCTATTCTTGCAGTGATCATTTTGTAATAAATAAAAATATCGAATCAGTATGTCATGCACCTGAAACTGACATAGTGTTGTAGGTCAACAATACTTCAAAAGATCAAACAAACCAACTCATGGAAAAAGAGATCGGATTTGCGGTTACCAGAGGTGGGGATGGGGGACGGGTTATTGGATGAAGGTGGTCAAATGTTACAAACTTCCAGTTAGGAGATAAATGAGTACTAGTGAAGTACAACATGATTAATATAATCAATACTGCTGGATGTTACACATGAAAGCTGTTAAAAGAGCAAATCCTAAGAGTTCCCATCACAAGAAAAACAATTTTTTTCTTTTTCTTTTATTTTGTATCTTTATGAGATGGTGGATGTTAGTTAAACTTATTGTGGTAATCAGTCCATGATGTATGTAAGTCAAATCATTACGCTATGCACCTTAAACTTATACAGCACTGTATGTCTATTATATTTTAGTAAAATTGGAAGAAAAACAAACAAATAAAAACTAATGGGCAAACAAAAAACAAGTAAATGTAGAGGTATATGGAATCAAAAAAAAAAATCTCAGCTCTTCTTACTCAGAATATCAAATTAAAGATTTGAGTGAACTTGGGCAAGAATTACTTGCCTACAAGCTCTAAGTTCTCATCTGCCAAAGGATGGGGTGAGACTACAGTATTGCTAACAGCCTCCCCAACTCCAAAATCACATCTTTTATTTATTTACTTA